TCTAATCTGATTAAAATGCTTCTCTTCAGTAGCTTTCCGCAATCGCTTTATAGCAAAACCTGGGAGGAAAGCCACCAGCACTTTGGTTTGTTCCAGATGGAAAGAAATACCAAACGGGTTGCTTAATTGCATACTTCATTCATTACCGTACAGGGCTGGGACCAAACTGCAAGCCCAGCTCCCGTTTGGCTTTAGTGGAGCTGCTCACTGAGAAAGGGCTTGTGGAACCGGTGGGTGCCCGGGCTGGCCCTGAGGCTGGTTAAGGTTCCATACCCACCTGCTTTAGGGGCAGAAAAAGGCATTTTGGGTCTTGCTGCCTGGTGCTGAGGTTGCTAAGCAATGAAGTCACTACAAGTAGCTAATGTCACGGCTACATCTAAAACCCACCATAGCATTAAATTCATCATCGTAATTAAATTCTCTCACTGCTTATGATACCATCTCCCTTACGTGATGCATCTCATCCAGCCTAGCGGTAAACTAGTTAATGCAACAGAACACATCCACCTCTAATTTCCATTGCCATTTAGTGCTCATCCACCACAATTTATTATCAGTCTGAAGGCATAGTACAGAAAATGTGCTGCAGAGAACACGATTAGTCCACAAATAGGTAAAAGCATCAAGAGCGAGCTCTGTTTTACTAAAACTTACCTCCTCTCCTTCAAGTCTTCCTCTAATGATTGCCAACGCTGGCATGGCAGAAGAGCTGTAGTGAGACCAAACATCACTGCTGAAATAGTGGTGGTTTTGCACCACCAGACACCATGCTTTGGGGGTAAAGCAGAGCTGCTAGATGAACCCCCTACACAGCAGAGGTTATGCTGTGTGCTGTGGATCCAGAGCGCTAGGCAAGCCTAGCTCCGAGACCAGAGGTAGTGCTCCTGACGTGCTTATGTGAACCCTTGCAGCTGCACCTGAAAAGGTGGGGATGGCTGTTTTGCAGACCACCTCCCTGCAAGACGCCCAAGACTGAGTCACCACCGAGACCATGATCGCTGACTCCGGTGTAGCCAACTCTGGCCTTCACCACTGCGGCAGGATGCCATGCGGCCTCGATGCTACTGCCTCTTCTGCCTAAACCTGAGCCACGGTCTCCACAGCTGGCTGCTACGGCTAAGGCAGGATAGGAGAGGTCTGGGAGGGGAGTTGAGGTGCTTAAGGTAGCCACTACCACTTGGGAAGGAGGGTGGAGAGAGGCAGCCCCTCCTAGATGCGATATTTGCCCCTAAGAGTTGCAGAAGATGCTCTCCCCACCCATCTCTTGCCCAATTCCTCCCCCTCCTGCGGACGGGAGCAGTTGGCTTTCATTCCCCCTTTGGCAAAACAAACTTGGCTTTCCCCGCTGAGGAGTGTGCTGTTTCTGCTTGGCTATGCTTGCAACCCACAGATTCCTCCGGCCAGCCTTTACCAGCATAGTCTAACAACAAAAACAACCCCCAAACCCAAACCCATTCCTGTTCCTTCTAAAACAGCTTCAGGCGCAGTGAATGCCACAGCTGATGCCGAACAGGCTCTGCGCTTCTCACTGGACTCTCAGACCTCTTTGATTTCTGAGTTGTCTGAAGTTTTCTGCATCACTCTACAGAAGGGAGCTCATCGCCATCGTAACAATTGCAACGCATCACTGACATTGGCATGGCATCCATATCATACTGCTAATATGCAGGGGACCCATCCGTGGCATCAAACAGAAAGACAGCATCAGCATTTAGCTAGAATTAAGCTTTCTTACCCATATAACATTATTTGAATTGTCCCAGGAGCATAAAGTCTAAAGCCTCCTCCATCTTCTGGGCATCAAGTAGTCTAAGAATTGTTCTTCACTAGCTGGACAGATTTACGTCAGGTGTGATGAGGTCACTGCAAATCATTTTCTGTCTCTCCGTTTTTCTGTGTGTCAGGGCAGATCCACTTGTTAGGTAAGACAGATTGCCTACAAGTTGTCTGAGACAACTCGAATGAGGGTGTCCACTGACCTTCCCCACTGTTACATCATCTTGGGCCGTGTGGCAACAGACACGTGTGGCCTTAACTCCACATCTGCCATCGCTGCTGTCCTGCCTGGCATACTCATTCTTTTAACTCATCAGGATCTCCTACCTTAGCTCATTAACAGATTTTTATGATCCATTAAAATTGCCTCAGAAGTAAATGGTCAAGTTTCTTAACTAAAAGGAACTTGCCTTGCTTCTGGTATAATCTGGGTCACGCTGTATCTGAGAACCAGGATTAGATTTTCATTATACCCACCCCCGATCTACTAGGGAATTTGCAAATAAATGAATTCTTAATTCCTTTGTGATGTTGAATTTTCCCCTCAGTTGTTCCTGACTTTAGAGCGGCAAATGAAACATCTTCAGATTTCGTTTCATTGGCATGCTGTGAAGCAGAATAAACTGTTTTACATTCTTCGCTGGAGATCCCTAGGGTTGTTTGGGGAAGGTGTTTCTCACATGAAGCTCCAGCACACAGATGACTAGGTCCACCAACTCACGCAACAGCTCTGTGCACCTTCAGCTGCAACAATAAATTCATTAATCTGTCTGTAATTAAAACACTGATGGTCTGGCTCTTACCTTACGGGAAGTACAAGAGCTACCAACAGACCTGCAGACGCAGCTGATTTCTTCTGCGTTTCTGTACACAGGCACGGTTTTATTAAAGGAACTTGCCTGCTCGTAACCCACTAACTACTGCGAGGAATAAGAACCCAGGTTCTGGGCAACTTTACTGCAAATCATTAAGAAATTGCTTTTAGACTCATTCCAGCTTCTCAGACATCTAAAGATAGAGCATGCTTGCCCACAGGAGATGGGAATTGATTACCGGGAGGCTCAAGTTTCAGCTGCACAACTGATGTTTCCAGCAAGACTGTCGCCTTGCATTAAACCTATGCTGTGAAAACATCCTCCAGCTGATCGGCACCAGCTGGCGTTGAGGGGGAAAGAGGAAACGCTGCTTGTGGCGAAGTACCATAAGGCGTAGATCTTACCCCCGCTTGAGAAACGCTTCTCAGTGCTGGAACTACTGGTTAAACAGCTGGTACGTTACCCTGGCTGGATGAGCATGCCCTCAGACTCTTTTGGTACATTCACTAACTGTAATTTATGAGAAATCACAGCAGAAAAAACCCCCCAGTTTTTGACTCTGCATTGAGCTACCCCTATCTTTTGCAAAGAGCGAGACAATACTTTGAGTTATTACAATGAGTAGAATGAAGTTTTATTTTCATTCATCCTTCATTAATACCACACAATTAGATATCAATATCTGGAAAAAAAAAATAAAATCGTGAAATAATTTAAAACAGAAGGCACGGAAAACCAAACCCAACTATGCAGCTACAAGCTAAAGGGGAAAAATGATTCAGGAAGGGAATTAATTCAGAAAGGTTTTATCACTAGACATTCTGATCAAAAGCTACAGCATACAGAAACAAAACCACATAGTTTAAACTAACCCATGCTTTTGGTACATATAAAGAAAAAAAAAATCTAAAAATCTGATTTTTGCAGGGTTTTGAATGAAAAGTGTAACTTTAAAAATAAAAACTCCATTAAATCTAGTACATATGTCAAAATCTCCCTAAAGTCTATAGTAAGATGTACTTTACAAAAAAAATCTGCATTAAGAGCAAAGTACACAGTGAAACAGCATCTGGGGATGGGAGGAAACTTGTCATTAAATCAGTTAGAGTATCAAATAAGTTTGGTGTTCGCTTCAGAAACAAAGATTCTCAGTACAGTAATATACTGTAGAGGACATTCTTTCGTATTTTAATATTATGAAATTAAATTGTTAGCATACATTACAGAGAGGAATAAAACCACTTCATTCATATGAGATTTTTACAATTATTTTTTTTTGCAAAAGAGTAACTTTATTTCTTTTGAAAACAAAGCTACTGGAATTAATGACATGCGATAATATGCCCCGATATTATACCGGCGAAATTTGAAAATAAAATTCATGCTTCACAATTGAAATATGTTGTGATTCTCAATTACATTCTCTGGTAATTAATAATACAATACAGAGGTCATTCATAAAATCAGTTCAGGTTGGGAACCTGGTTTATAAACGAAGCTCTTTTTCAAATATGCAGAACACTGACAACACACGGGGTTTGCTCCAGGTCAGCACATTTCTTTCCACACTCCACCCCTCTTTTCTTAAACAAATGGGTGCTTAGCCTGCAAATATCACGGAAAGGCAAAGTCTAGAAGTTACAGGTTGGTCTGTAAAAATGCTAAATACAATCCAAGTTAAATAGTATTACTCTTACTGACAACTTAATAGCAGGTGCTCTCTAAAGGAAAAAAAAAATATCCTGAAATGCAAGAGAGATCATTTCAGCATTTGATATCAAGGCATTTGCACATTTGTCAGGAGGTGATAGAATAAGAGTGAACTTTGCAGCTTACTTTGCAGTTGGACTTGATTTCAAAGAGCCTTCTTTCTAGCCTGCCCACGTGTAAACCATAACGTATGGTTTCTTAATAGCTTGCTTTTTTTCCTTGAAATAGTTCCCTCATTTAGAAAGTCAAAGTAGTATTGTTTCCACACGTGAATAAAGAGAGCTGACAACTACAATAGAAACAGTAAAAATGATCTTCGTAAAAATGTTCATCAAAATTCTCTGACATAGCAAAACATTCATTTGTAAAGTCAAGTCTAATACTGCAAGCCATTCACTCAAAGGCGACCTCGGGCACGTGTATTCTTGCCAGTGTTGCAACACTAATTACTTCCATATTTCTTGTCATTATAGGATACAAACTCTGTAATATATTAAAGTTTCCTAACAAAGAGTCCAATTATTGCACTTTATAAAAATTCCAGTAATATCAGGCTTTTGTCCTACTTTTCTATGAACACTGATGCCCTGCAAGAAAAATTTGGGGGACCAAATAATTTCAGATGAATAAAATGGATTACTTGAATCAGTCTGAAACATCGAATCAAAAAATGAAAAGGCGTACAAAATGCAGAGATGTACCTTTGGAAACAGAATTTGATTCATAGCAGCAGATAGATGTGTCATTGCGGTACTGACACACGTTCTCTTCGCAGGGAAGAACGGGCACATGGCTATTAGGTTTATATATCACGTATAACTTGAGGACTGTGCAGAGAAACCTAAAGAACCACTAAGTTCTTCTGCTAACTCTACAAGCCTGGCGGGGAAAGCTCAATGACAGCCGTATCGGAGTGCGAGTTTCTCTCTGAGCTCGTGTATATTTGCATTTGCGTCAGCAATGGATATAGCAAACAGAAATGGCTATTTCAGGATGGAAAGATACATAGAGTGAGTCTGACAGCCCTATAAAAAAAAAAGAAAATACAGCAGTTTTGGCCCTGCTTATAACCAGCTGTATCAATAGGGGAAAAAAGATAGAGGAGATTTTTGTGCCAGCTATCTAGAAAAAGAAGCTGCTTGAACCAAAGCGATTCCCAAATTTATATGAGGCTTCCAGGCCAGCAAATCACGGTTAAAGTTACTTTGTTCCTCTGCTCCTTCAGCATGGGAACGAGTGCAGAATGGCTCATTCCAACCGTGGATAGTCCGTTTACAGCAACAATCATATCACCACACCTAAAAACACAAGAAGAACAAAAACACCATATGATGATTACTCCTCTGCTGTAACAAGTACACAGCAACGAACAGCACTTCACCTCTGGGGTGACAGTTTCCATCAGGTTGGAAATGTAGCTAAGAAACCCCAAGGGGTTCAATTTTAAGCCTGTTTTACTACTGAAACTCATCTGGGAAATGCCCAAATCACTGGATTTCAATTCTAATACAAAATTAGTTCTGCATTAAGAGCTGACCTGTAGGGAA